TGTGTCTGTATCTGCTGAAAATGTAGGTGGGGGAAAAAAGCCTTCTGAGAAAGCATGAGTGGTTCCTATCTACAAAGGCTATGAAAAGTCACTTGAAGAATGTTGGGCCTTATCCTTTGAGTTCATAATGGATAATGTTTGTGCACTTTAGGTGAATGGTTAAAATGTCCCTCGGGGACATTTCCATGGTCATGAATGCCCCATGTTGACATCCTGGGTACCACCAGGTTGTCCTGTAGCTGCCCAAGGTTGACTGATCAATGCAGGATCATGTAGCCTAAGCAGCTGTGAATGACCTGCCTTCTCATTGTCATACTATTTGGAAGATCTCAGTGAAAAATCCGTATGTCCTGGCATCTCCAAGTCACGAGTAGTGAGCAATACGAATTCAGTCTTAGTCAAGATCAGGAAAAGAGCAGGTTGTTTTAGGCCAAAAATGAAAATGCCACCAGTTGTCCCAGTGATCTAAGTCATAAACCCAGAACTCAGTGCAAATAGAGGTCATGTGCTCACTGTTGGATCTTTTCTTCTTCAAGGATAATGGAGGCAGAATTTTTCTTTTGTTTGTTTTTTGTTTTGGGGGGTTTTTTGTTTTTATTTTTCAAGAGGCAGGAGCAGTACAAGGAATGACAAAGAAACAAACAGTGCTGACAACAGCATTCTGGGAAGAGGCTTGCACATTTTCCTGTTCACCTCCCTCCATGGGTGAATGAGTACTACCTACTTGTATTTCCTTGACCCGTGCATTCAGCTAGCATTTTCAGGTGAATCCAGTCATTTTTCAGTTCTTGCACAAGGTAAGCCTTTCTGCCCTGAATGGAGCCTCTCAGAAACAATCTACTGTGAAGAACACTAAATCTGATAGGACCTAATATTTTCTGTGGAGCTGATGGTGTAATCCTAGCTGCTCAGGAAGGTGAGATCTGAAGATCAAGGTTCAAAAGCAGCCCAGAAAAGCAAGTCCATGAAACTTTCTTTTTTGGTTGGTCATGGGGCTTGAATTCTGGGCCTGGGTGCTGTCCCTCAGCTCTTCTGCTCAAGGCTAGTGCTCTACCACTTGAGCCACAGTACCACTTCCTCCATGAAACTCTTATGTCCAATGAACCACCAGAAAACTGAAGTGGCACTGTGGCTCAAAGGGGTAGAACACTAGAACAAAAGAGCTCAGGGACAGTGTTGTGGCAAGCCCCACTACTGACCACAAGAAGAAGGAGGAGGAAGAGGGGGAGGAAGAGGAGGAGGAGGCAGAGGAGGAGGAGAAGGAGGAGGAGGAGGAGGAGGAGGAGGAGGAAGAAGAGAAGGAAGAGGAGGAGGAGGAAGGAAGGAAGGAAGGAAGGAAGGAAGAAAGAAGGAGGAGGGTGTGGAGGAAGATAAGGAGGAGGAAGAGGAGGAAGAAGCAACAGCACATTTGAGATGCTGACCCTTTTGGTTTGTAGTTGTAGTGAAAATATCTGAGCAATCTAAAGAGGCTCTTCATCCATCATTGTCTGGACTTGCAGATATCACTGTATTGTGCTTTATTTCCCATATGTCTGAATTGCAATGATGGACCCAGTCTGTTCTTTCTACTTGTCGAGTTGTTATAAAGATAAGAAAGCAATGTATGGGTAATGATGACACCCCAATTGTAGATTTCCCTGTGATATTTTTACTCAGAAAGGGGACTATCAAGTATGAGAACCATGGCTTTTCTTGTTGTGAAGACATTTTCATTGCTTTCAAAATTTAAATCTTTCTCCTTGCCAAAAGTCTTGAACTATCCCGAGTGATTGAGCTTCCCTTCTGCTATCCTTTATTAACTCTACAGAGCATACCCCGGGCAATGAAGCTGCTCCATGCCACCTGCCATTTCTCAAGCACATTTCCCCATAAGGGCATGGGGTGCAGTAGGAAGACAACTTCACTTACCACAGTGTCTGATAAGAACTTACAAGTAACTCACAGTTCAAAAGCACACATATTCATTGGGATCTCAGCCCTCTACAGCCGCTACTCCCACTAATTCTAGAAGCTCACCAGGTGGGAGACTGTTTACCTGACTCCTGCTTACTACTTGCCTCCTCCTAGAAAGTGTTCTCCAACTAGCTTGTAAGCACCTGGCTCATGCACCCACTCACCCCCTCACTACCTCTTGAGATCCTTACTTCCATGTCAGTAAATCCTCTATACCATCCCTGAGAGCCTGGAATGGTGCGCTATGGATCCTAAGGGTGACAGGGGAGGAAACTAGACGTAGCAAAGCCAGATGCAGCATGAGAACATGAGCACCGTGCCCAACTGCACCCAGCAGACTCAGGTGGGGGTCTCTCATTGTACACTGAGTCTTCACTGGCCGTGACAATGCAGAAATAACAACATGGCCACATGCCAATGACTAAAATCCTAGCTACTCAGGAGGCTGAGATCTGAAGGTGGCAGTTTGAAGCCAGTGTAGGTGAGAACGTCTGTGAGATTCTTTACCTCCAATTAAGCACCAAAAAAAAAAAAAAAACCAACAACCAGAAGTGAAGCTGTGGCTTACATGGTAGAGCACTAACTTTGAGCAAGAAAGCTTAGGAACAGCAGCACTCAGGCCTTGAGTTCAAGCCCCAGGACTGGTGCTCACACGTGCGTACACACACACACATACACACACACAAACACACACATCATAATAGTAATAATAATAGCCACCACAGAAGCTAGCATGTAGTATCTGTGTGTGATGAGTGCCATTGCACCCAGTTTTCACAATGGCCCTGTCAGGGTGCCCTCACCTTGTTTAGACACACACACAGCTAGTGACACAACCGGATGTCAGAGACATAGCCTTTTCTCTGGAAGCCTGAGCATTGATCTAGTGCCTCTAGCATGGCGTACTCTTGCCTGGGAGCTTCCTGGACAAATGAGGAAGTGAAACTGCAGTAGACAGAGTTTGGAGAAGCTCATCATGCATTGGCACGCTATGAGGGGTGCTGTGAGGGCTGAGGTGCCGAAGTCCTACCAAGAGCCTGACAGAGCCAACCAGATTTAGCTAGGACAGGGCCTGAACTGGGAGGGCAAGCTGTGGGAAGTTACCTGGACAACAACAGATCAAATGTCACATGGAGAGAAACTTCTAGGACATAAATGGACCCTAGGCGAGCAAAGCAGAGGAAAAGAACGGGCACATCCATTTTCAGGCTGCACAGGTGCTTCGGACTCAAAACCAGTCATTGCACAAGGACAGGGTCTATGATGAATGGATCGAGTAGATGATCTGCACCTCCACACAGATGAGTGGGGAAAGACCCCAGTCACGGGGGAATCCGACTGATCTCCTGCTTCAAGAGAGACAGACTGACTGCTGCTTACCTCTCCTGGCACCCGTAGGCTACAGCCTTCAGTGAGCAGGAGCAAGGGAGAGAGAGCCATCAGGACTACACAGGAGAGTTTTCCGCTAGACTTGTGGAACGGAAATGATTTGGCCACACTGTGTGACATCCCACAAGAGACCACAGGTGTTGCCAACAGGATACCCTGCCTTGGGTCTCTGTGACCCCAGGTTATAGGAAAATGACTCACAAGACGCTTTCTCCATCTATTAGATTCTGAAGAGCTGGTCCCTACCCAAGTGGGCTGGAAGGGGCCCATGTCTGAGATAACCTCGAAAGCTAAGAGCTGGACCCTCACCCCTTACTTTCTCAAGTCTATATTGGTCATCCTGCAATCAAATGCTATTAGTTTTTGTTTGAAATCGACTATGAATACTGAACACATCTACCTGTGCCACTCGGTGATACGTCTGCAAATCTCTTCATGTATTGCTGCCATGGCAGCTGCCTTACTTCCCTTTCTTTCAGCCTTCCCCCAAGGCCGGGCCATACAACCCATCAAGTCTTTAGCTCTCTCCCCTTGTGACGCCAGGTTCTTTCCTATAAAGGAAGCTTCTTCTCTGAATTATCATCTTTGGACTCCCCCGGGGAGCTGGAGTCAGAGGAAGGCCATGGATGGACAGTCTCCTGGGTGTGGATGGGGACCACTCTGTAACAAGGAACTTTCTTTTCAGATACCATATACTTTCCTTTTCCTCGGTGGGCAATGGAAATTGCTTTCGCTCTGCCCCATACTAGATTATGCTCACTACAAACTGTTTCCCAAATCTGTAAGGGAAGCACCTCAGATTCATCATGATGAACTTGTTAGATTTCTGTTATAAAAGTTGAAAATTTTATTACTTATACCAGAAGGATTTTAGGGTTACATCAGCACTTATGTATACATCTAATTCCAATCCATTGTACCCCTTCTATCATGGAGACCTTGTTTTAAAACACAGAATCCTATTCTGTATCTACACCTGCAAATGTATGGGGGCGTTGAGAGAGAGTCAATCTATTTTTTGTTTGTGCCCAGTACTGGGGCTGGAAATCAGGGCTTAGGCACTGTCCCTTAAGTGTTTACTCAAGGCTGACACTCTATCACTTGACTCAAAGCTCCACTTCTGGCTTTTGGGGGCTTACAGTCTCTTGGACTTTTTTCCCCAGCCTGCTTTAGAACCTTGATGCTCCCATCTCAGCCTCCTGAGTAGCCAGGGTAACAGGCAAGAGCCATTGGGCACTGGGTCAAGAAATGTGTGGTTTTAACATGCTCGGCAGACAATGGTGGCCATGAAGGTTTGGTGGCAAACCTTGCCTATTACTGAAAGACCTGACCTGCTACCTTTGCATAGATCCTTCATATCAATGGCGTATACTCCTTAAGTGGTCTGGCAGCAGACCCCTTAGACATAGACACTGGGCAAAGAACCCAGAGAATTATGGGAGTGGGGGTCAAGGGTAGTGAGTGACTAGAGGCATCAAGGGGGCTGGAATCCCTTTATTACAGGTCATCTGTGAACATATCAGTATGCCTCCTCCAAAGTATACATGGCAATGTAACAGATTAGCAGTCAACACACTTAGATTTTTGTGTATTGCCGTGACTCAAACACAGGTACCAGTTCTAACTCAATGTCTCTTTTTATGTTCTGTCATTTCCAGGCATAAAAGTCACTGAAACAAATCCCAAGGCATAAGGAAATAGGCCTCGTGCTCTAGTGCTCCGTGGTATAGCACCACTGCGGTTGTGCAGCCTTTGGCAAAGCAGTTTATCACACTCGAGGAAGCCGGGAGGGAAATCTTCCATCGTGATGACTGGCAGTCTAACTTCAAACCCACAGCATTGACAACCCTGGCACACTTTTCTTGCTGCACACTTACAATAGAGCCTTTTCTAAACCGTTCCTCAGCTGGGATGAAAATAAAAATGGTAGTTAAAATATTTATCTTGTGTGCTGACTGACTTAGAAATTCATACTTTGGGGTCCTGGAAAGGTCCAGTCGAGGAAGCCACTCGCTGAGGGCGACTGTGGTTCCTGTGAACCACGGCTTGCTATGGCACAGGTGAGAATTACAGAGTTTCCGTTTCGGCAGAATAAGAAATGGACAGCCTTTTCTCACCGACAGCCTTCTGTCTTCACTACAGGAAAGCAGCACTGACAGAATTTAAAGAGTAGTGCAGTTAGCCTCAGGAAACATAGTCAGCAGACACCTTGGACTAGGCTGGGTATGGGGGACAAATGTAAGAAAAGGACACAGAGAAAGCTCCTGATACTGTGTACACTTGATGGTTGTTGGGTGCCTGTTACCCACATCGTTGTTGATGTCCTGAAAGAATACTTCTGAGATTGCATTCTTTCTTTCCTCTGGCATATTCATACAAGACAGGTTAGAGTTTCCATAGAAAATGAAAATTTATCTATACCTAATGTGGCTACAAATAACTGAACACAGGAATTTGGGTGTTCTTATTTTTTTTCAACTCTCTTTGGGAATATCCTTAGGCCTATGAGTCACTCTCCAAACCAACTCCATCACCAACACAGGTTGCATAAGTTTCCTGTAACTACTGGAAGTAATTCCCCAATAAAAATGATATAAAGCTGTACTTTAGTCTTTCCTTCACAGTTCTAGAGGGCAGAAATCTAAACTCCAACAGAAATGGGCTTTCTCATGCCCTCCTCTCAGGGCCTCTGGTAGAGGGTCTGCTGCATGCCATTCTTCCCCAATGCCTGGTGACCCTTAGTGTCTTCTAGAATCATGTTCATCTCTGTTGCTTATTCTCTCTCTTTTCTTTCTCCTCTGCATAGGTCTTATAAGAATATGGGCCAATGGATTTAGGACCACTTGTATGCTTCAAGATGATCTCCTGGAGGCCTCAACATCTTTAAATAAATTACATATAAAAGGTCTGTTTTCATAAACCACAGGGATTTGATATGTGCATCTATGTTACTGCTTCCATTAAACCCACTACTTCACACATTTGAAACTGGACTGTTTCTGATGTGGTAAGCTAAGTACAAAGCAACCTAATATGTCTTTAAATTTTTTTGCATACATTACTTATACAAGTGGGGAGTTTCATTGTGACACAGCCACACAAACAATATAATAGCATCTTGTTTAAAATAGTATTCTACATTTTTTTCCTAAGGCTGACTGTCTGATTCACACTGGTTCTTGGGTCTGGCAAGCCCTCCAGTTCAAAGCCTTGCATCTGAGGTACTTCTCTTTAAGCTACAAGTAACAAGGTGTGCTCAGGATACAATATGTCAGTGAAGGAAGACAGCAGACTGATAAATAATCCATGCAACATCATCCACACACAAGATTCCTGCCAGTGGGTTGGTTGGTGGTCCACAGTATAGCCCTAAACATTTGTCTTACACTTTGGTGGTCAAACATCTCCACCTCTGATTTAAATAATAAATATGAGCAATGCCTAGGCCCTAGCTACAGAGTGAAGTCCACTTTTGACTCATTGGCTTTGATTCAAAAAAGTTAGTAAACAGTTGTGATGGTGGAGAAGTACAATGATAGCTAGACAACTGGTCCAGTTGCACGGTGAAGCAACTCAGAGTTTTGTGCTCCATTTTTGTCTATGCCATTACAGCTCTGCAGGCTCTTCCTTGATGCCTCTCTGTCTATGGACTTTTACCTTACTGTGTGTTTTTTTAAAAAACTCTGCATGATGTGCAGGCTGTGTTTGTCTTTCCCCAAATCAGTATTTAGAAACGGAATCAACCACGAGATACTACTGGAAGGAGGCAGGATCTTCAGGAGGTGATGAGACCCTAAAGACAGAGTATCTGATAAAGAAGCCCCATAGGGCTGCCTGGCCCCATCGCACCACATGCTGACACAGTACACAGGCACCAGAAACCAGAAACTGACATTAGCCAAATACGGAATCTGTTTGGCTACATGTTGATCTGGAATTTACAGCCTCCATTAGAATGAGAACAAATTTCCTGGGGTTTATAGGCTAACAACCCTACACCATTGTGCGACAGCAGCTTCAGTAGACAAAGATTGACTAAGAGTTACCAAGAGAAGGTGAAGGAAAGAACAAGCCTATTTGCCGTAAGAACCCAGATTGTTCCAAAGGCATTGAGAGGAAACTTCCAAACCACATTTTCTTTTGCAGCATCCCTACATAACTTCCTTCTTATCATAATGATAAATACTTCTCGATGTAGCAGCCCTTAGGCTAGGAAATTTTTCAGTGGTAGTTCTTGTAAACCTCATGAAAATCAACAAATCTAGTTTTTGCCCTTTCTCCCTTCTCTTCTCTTTCATCAAATACTTGTTCAATACTCGTTGTAGGACAAACACTACTTATACCCGGTGCCCAGGTTACAATGCTGAGCCAAATCTTCTACAAATAACTATGACCTCCTTCTCTAGACCTGGAGGTTGTAACTCTGGAACTTAGGATTTGCTGAAGGGAGCTACATGCAGCTGAGCATACAGGAAAATACTCCTTTCCCTTAATCCTAGCTGTTTCTGAGAAAGCCAAAGGAAACAAGTACCACAGATCCCCTCTCCTCCTGAAAAAAATGAGAGAGGGAAAGAAAAGAAACAACAACTTTGGCTTTATATGTTTACAGAGCCTGTAATGAATTACTACATGGGGCCATCCGGTTTCAAGGGAAGGAGGAACAACTTTGGAAGTAAGCCCCAAAGATACCAGATCTGCTGTTGCACCAAAGACAGTTCCTCAAAATCTTGTCCTTTCCCATCTTTCACACATTCCATGATTTGGCCAGATACACACAATACTTACGTTATTTGTTCACTACTTCTCTTTTACTCAACTCTAATTTTTTGCTTACATCCCTGAAAAGGAAACTGACAATGACCACACAAATGGAAAACCAGTATCTCTTGCCACGAATAGAAGCTAACAGTGAGAATGAAAACCATGAAAAAAAAAAAACCCTGGTGGGGAAAAGTGATAACATTCTAGCTAGGTTTTGTCACTTGCTGAAAGCCCCTCTCAGAAGCCTGTCTTCTCACTTCATTACAAAGGGACATTAGTGAGTGTTGGAGAGGTGCTAAAATGAGACAAAGTTTGGCTCCTTCAGGACTGAGAAGTGGGAAGGGAAGAATTTCTCAGGCTGTGATCAGGTGGGCTTTTTGCATACTTTGTCCATGGCCTCTTAGGTCCTCTCTTGCCCAGAAGTGCTGTGTCTCCCACAAAGCTATGTGAAGGCAACCATGCTTCCTCGGTGCCCTGAGATGCTTTGAGCTCCTCCTGCTACTTCCCATATAACCTTTATATCTTGCAAACAGGTAACTACCTGAGTTTTGAGATCCACAGGCAAAAATGAAGGAAAACAATGATACTGTCCAATAAGAATAGTGATCATCGGCTTTGTGTTTGAACAGAACGAACTTTGAAAGCACCTCCCCATCTTCTGACATTTGGTTGCAAAGAATAAACAAGCAGGAGTAAAGTAAGAGACTATTCTGGGTGTTCACAGCCTCTTCCATAGAAAAATAAGGATGGAGCAAGCTGGAGGAAGTGGGGGATGGGAGGAGGCTAAGGGCCTGCTGTGGCTCATAATCTACATCCATCTAAATAAAGGGAAGGGAAATAGGGGAGGAAAACTAAAGAGGGAAGAAAATCCAGCAACACATTCTCCACCCTCCATTCAGAGTGCTAGAACATTCAGTCTTAAAGTACTTTCACAAGTATAACCCAAGCTTCTCTTCACGGAATAAGAGACCTTTGATGGTGATGTCAATAGCGTAGATCCATAGGAGAAATGGCAAGCCAAACACAACAGACTTTCTGCGGGCTCTATGAAGCACACAGACGTGGCCACTGCCAAGGGTTTATGTAGATGAGGTGGCACAGACTAATGGTGACAGGAGCTTTGCCTTTGACGGCGAGTTGAACCAGTGAGATGACTCCTAATTGTCTACTCATTCTGTAGATTAGGAAATTGAGGCTGGAGAGGTTCGGGAAATGATAGTCAGGCTCCCACCCAAGTCTGCTTTGCATTCAAGGGTCATGCTCTTCACTTTCAAGCTATTGAGTGCTTGACAGAAATGAACTAAGGATTCAAGACTGCTTCTTAATAATGGCATATAATTAATTATATAAACTTTATGCCAACAGAGAAACTAACAAATGTCAAACCTTTCCCCAAGGTTTGCAAAACATGACTTCCTCAGATTAAAATCTTGTTGCTTCTCTGTGCATAACTAAAATGAACCCCTAATAAAAACAGTGGAATCAGCCAGGCACCCATGGCTCAGGCCTGTAATCCTAGCTACTCAGGAAGCTGAAATCTGAGGACTGTGGTTCTAAGCCATCCTGGGTAGGAAAGTCTCTTATCTCCATTTAACCACCAGAAAATCAGAAGTGGAGCTGTGGCTCAATGAAGCTCAGGGATAGCACCCAAGCCCTGAGTTCAAGCCCCACAACTAACAACAACAAAGAACAGCAGAATCATTAAATGCTTCAGGAGATAGGAAGGGGCAAGGAGGTCTTGAATAAGATCTCAAAATCAGCCAACCAAAACAAACATAGACAATGGCATGATAGAAAAATAAAAGGCTTCTGCAAAGGAAATACTAATGTTCAGACACAATTGACAGAATGGTGGAAAAACTATGCAATATAGACACTAGAGAAAGAGTTGCTAACAAGAAGATATAGCAAACTTTGGCCATTCAGTAACAGCCACAGGAAACCAAATAACTGGAGTTAAGGATAATCAATATGGGGCTGGGAAGGTGGCTCAGTGGTAGAGTGCTTGCCTTGTATGCATGAAGCCCTGGGTTCGATTCCTCAGCACCACATAAGCAGAAAAAGCCAGAAGTGGCACTGTGGTTCAAGTGGTAGAGAGCTAGCCTTGAGCTGAAGAGCTGAGGGACAGTGCCCAGGCCCAGAGTTCAGGCCCCATGACTGGCAAAAATAA